CATGAAAAACGCAAGTTGAATTTCGCCGATCGGCCCAGTAGAACGGGAGATATAAAACTGTCCTTTCCTTTTTTTTTCGCAGTGTATATGGTATTTACTGCACATTAATTTAGCAATGTACTGTATACTAATATAGAACACAATTAAATGCAAATATTGATCAATTAAGCATTATTTAAATGTTCATAAAAAGTTCAACAAATACAGAAGATTAAGACAATTCAGATCAAATAAAATTTAATACAAAAGCATTATACTGAAAATCTCACCAGAGGAAGGGAAATGGAACACCCACAATATAAGTTTCATGAATTCAATAAATTTCATTTATAGGTGGGAAACATCTCAATATAAGCTAAAATTAAAAGACGGGAGGTTCTGCAACCTATCAAGAGATGAGATGGAAAACTGAGATAGTTGGTAACTATGAATTATATATTTTACTTTCTTATGCATCCATAATATATGTTACGGTTGATCTTTACAATATGGTAACTGGTAGTTTGGCGACATTTTGGAGGCGATAAAGGTTACTACCTGGGACTTTGGTAATAATGTGAGCAGTACTCAGTTCCGATTACACATTATTTTGTGTGAAGGAAATGAGAGATCATGGGATATGTCATGTGATATTAATGGACGAATTACGGTTCTTTAATCGGAAAAAAATCTGGAAGTTTTGTATTTGGCTTTATTCTGTGTTGTGTGAAACAGTGTTCGATTAATTTTTGGATCCCATGGCCGTAACTAAAGTGAAATTCGAAATGGGTATTTATGTATGTATTAATTTAATGTATGTGCTCATTTATTTTAAGTAGTGTTTGAAATTTAATATATTTTTAATTAAATGATAGTTATTTTGTGAATTTTATGTTTGTAGGAATTTGGTATACGTTTTAGTTGAAGTAAACGTGCATGGAAATAATTTAATATCTGACACTAAGTATTTGTAATGGTGCGGTATGAATTCGTTGGTGATGTGTATAATGTAATAGATGATTTAGAGGTAAAAGTTTTTGGATATTTTTATTTATTTTATATGTGGAAATGTTCATATTTGGAAAGGGTAAATACTTTTTCGCGATCAGGTAATTTCATATATGTTCTTTTTACCGGGTTTAAAGATTGAGAAAATTGTCATGTATTTTCGTGAAATTTTTCTAATTTATGAAAAAAAAAAGCAGTGTACATGGATTAGTGAAGAGTGTGCGCAATGCCATTTTGTGCAATTCTGGGATGTTTTTTTAAGTAAAAATAAGTCGACGTGTGTACATGGTTTAGTGATATTTTAATTAAATGATAGTTATTTTGTGAATTTTATGTTTGTAGGAATTTGGTACACGTTTAAGTTGAAGTAGTAACATGCATGGAAATAATTTAAATTTTTGATACTAAGTATTTGTAATGCTTGCGGTATGAATTCGTTGGTGACGTGTATAATGTAATAGATGATTTAGAGGTTTTTTGGATATTTTATTTATTTTATATGTGGAAATGTTCATATTTGGAAAAGGGTAAATACTTTTTCGCGATCAGGTAATTTCATATATGTTCTTTTTACCGGGTTTAAAGATTGAGAAAATTGTCATGTATTTTCGTGAAATTTTTCTAATTTATGAGAAAAAAGCAGTGTACATGGATATAGTGTAGAGTGTGAGCAAAGCCATTTTTGTGCAATTTTTGAATGTTTTTTTAAGTAAAAATAAGTCGGCGTGTACATGGTTTATGTGTATGTGTTATTTTGAAAAACGCGTAAGGAGTATGGTATTGTGCACTTTTTCCCAATTTTGCAGTGAATATTTGTCATGATTAAGCAGTTTTGTTAGATAAAATTTCTAGCATAAGTGTAATTCGGCTAGTAAATTGTTGGAAGAAGTGTTCAGTAGATAAAAAGAAAAGAAACATGTCTTTACTTCATGAAGACAAAATGGCGGCGGGAAAAAAAAAAATAGAGGGTTGCTGTAGGAGAGTTGGTCGCCAAATTTTCGCCAAAAAAACGCCAAGTTACCATAATGTACAGATCAACCTATGTTACTTACCACAAATCAGAAATTTCCAAATACTATGTTGAGTAATTCATGGTGGGGGATATGTCAGGAGTAAGTAAATGCAATAGTTAATATTTTTCAACATGATGATACAGTAGAATCCCATAACCTTGACATAATGTGGGCGGAGAGACTGTTGAGTTTTATGGAATAAGGAGTGGATTTTTCAGAAATCTTAATATTTAACTGAAATTACTCTATATTTTTGTAGCACAATATTGGACATGGAGAAGTACAGAATACAAATAAATCAATGTTGATTTTTTTTATGTTAAGTTCTAGCACAATAGGAGTCATAAAAAGAACAAATATCCTATGATAATTGAGTAAAAATAAAATCCCACACAAAACTGAAGAAAAATTATTAGTAGTTCTTAGTAGAAAAATATTATGCGATAGTAGACCGTTTCTCACACTTATTCCACTGTCATGTAGTTTCATCCTGTAGGCAACGGAGGAACAAAATGTCCATACCAGATGCACCTTGCTCCTCAATGTAACCGGGCATTCCTTCAGCGGTCATCATTTTAGCTTTTCCGTTGTCAGTCTCTTCCTTTTCTGATTTACCTTCATTTTTATCCACATCGCCTCTCATTAGTGCAACTATATCTGCATGTCTTAAAATTTCACAATTTTCATCTTGTCCCAACATCACCATCATTAGCTTCTTCATTAGTTTCATTTCCAATGTCACATTAGTTTGTTTTCTTATTTTTCAAATGGCATTTTCATTTCACAGAGTATCAAAAGTTCCCTAAAATATGTTGACACTTATATGCCCAGATGTGAACTGAGAAACGATACCCTAGATGAACTGGTGCGAGTTTAGTTTGCAATAAGATGCTGTCACAAAACTTCAGACAAGTCTCCTAACATTTCGCAACAATAGAAAGGAATGTGAGCCAGCGACTACCCACTACCCGACCTCTTTCGTATCTTCGAAAGAAGCAAACAGCATTGTCAAATATTACAACATACCTTGAAATTTGTTAGGCAGTTCCAAGAACTAATGGCACAATGCGAAAATGAAAAAAATTACAGGAAAGGAACACTCAAATCTTTGAACATAATGCGGAAGACATATGCATAGATAATAATTAAATGTACTGTATGTAATAATATTTGCTCTGTTTAGCCTAGCGTTATCTTAAAAAAGTTGTCGAGTTATACAGAATGTCGGGATATCGGGAGTCAAGTTTGCGGGATTCTACTATAAATGAAACAAGAACTAGAATCTGTATACTGCCATCGCCACATAAATTCTCAAATGTGAAAATCAAAAATATCCTCCTCACTGCCATTGGCATTTCTTTCAAAAAACGATTTTTATTACAGCCCACATACCTTCCATAGAGATGATACGAGTTCTGGTTTCCAAATCCTTAAAATGTCACTGCTAAATTTACCGAGAGGTGAGCGAAGCCAATTAAATTTTCATTTACACACCAGTCAATCAACGTATCTTTCCTATTCATTCCAAATCATACAAAAACTTCAGGTTTATCTTATTACCGGCAGCCATTTTACAGTGTAAAGCACACAATAAGCAACATACTTCCTAACTGACAGCCAATGCAGAAATAAGCCCTGAGAAATATTTTCCCAACAATCAAAACCACTGCAATCACGCATTACAATCAATCACGTCTTAACAGGGTTTCCAACACATTCAACGTAAAATACTCGGGTCACCCATAAATAAAACAATACAACAACTTGGCAATAAATGAAATAACACAACAACTTAGCGATAAATGAAGCAACAACTTCGTGATAATCCAAGGGCTATCCCAAAATGTAGATAATCCACAATTTTTTCAACATTGAGCAGAAGACAACTAGACACCCTGAATGCCTACAAGATAACTGAAATGAATTCTCTGCATACATACTATGTGATTTACTAAGGTAGGAATATAAAAATCTTCTTAGACGAGATTCATACCTCAACTTATTCACGACAATGAAAGTTTAAGATGTTAATCTCTTTTCAACAACCCATTTATTTTAACTATGCCATCTTACAACAGATAAAGGAACTACGGTTAGAGTTGACTTTAGGGTACCCCTTGTATTATCACGAATTTATTGTTTCATTTATCAGCAAGTTGTTGTATCATTTATGGTAACCTGAGCAGTTGAATGTTATGGAAACCCTATTATGACATAATCGTTTGCCTTATTCCGGAAAATTTTGAATCATGGGATGTTCTGCAAGGCCTTTTGTGGTGTGTGTTGCTTAGGAAGAACATACCTTGTTTCATTGTTTAGATGGTACTATGGCTGAATGTAGTAAGATTGATTTGAAGTTTTAATTTGAAATTATTGCTATCACAATATAAATTATATATTGCTAACTTTCATGTTTTAAATAACTTTTAAAATATTTAGCGAAAACAACAATTAATACAATTATACAATAACCAGAATTTTTTGTAATAATGCTCCATTTGACACATAACATAAAATACATTTAAATACCATATGACAGAACATAATATATTCCTTATGTCAAACTATTGAAGACATGCAAAATATAGTTTTATTTACACTACATTTTAGAGAAAACAACAATTAATACCTACTTTAGAAATTATACAATAACCAGAATTTTTTGTAATAATGCTGCATTTGTCACATAACACAAAATACATTTAAATACCATATGACAGAACAGAATATATTCCTTACGTCAAACTATTGAAGACATGCAAAATATAGTTTTATTTACCATACACTACATTTTACAAACAGCATAAGTATTTCATTCCGCAAGGTGTCACGTTTAATCTAAGGACGCCAACACAATAACAGCTTATAAGAACATAAAATGAAAGAAACTAATAAAGAATATAAAAAAATATAATACTTAAGGTATGTAAAAAAGCAAATACAATTAAGATTTCATACATTTAAAGCATAAAATAATGATAATTTAATATGATTACGTACAGATGTGGAAGCTTTGACGCAACGTCAAGATATTTCAGCCTTTAAATTAAAAAAGATAAAAAAAAAATTAGACCTTTATAAAACTTTAATAAAAATCATGATCTTATCATCACCACATATGTTAAAGCATCATTTAAACTTCGCTAATTCATGACATACTCACAGTTCATAAACACTAATCAACATCAGAGACTCACATTTCTGTTGCCATATTATTCGGCCTAAAATGATTATAATATGTACACAGAATTAACTTCCCTTCAGTTCAAAACATTCAAAAACCGTATGCAGTAATTCCCTAGTGTCGAGCCTAGCGCAGATATAGCGTAACGCATTGGAACATATCTTTAGGATACGTACTCTCCTAGAGATGCGTCTTAATACGCTACAAAAACCTTTATGTATCTTGAACCCGAATTTGTATTGAAGTCTAATTTATAAATTGCTTAGGTGTAACTCAGTAAGAAATAACTATATTTTGTGTTATTTTTTCATATATGTATGGTATTCGCACAATGTTATTTTATAAATGAAATATCATGCAATAATATTTGTTCTGATATAAGATAAGAGTGGAATTATGTATAAATACACATGCAGAAATAAATTCAAATAATACTTTGATGGTCTTGCAATATTTGATTTGTCTCTGAACCTCTGAAAAGTGTTGCGTTACTAATATGATTCAAACCACCATCTATTATCTTTTTATATTTTAAGTTGCTCTTTAATGGCAACATTGTTAATACTACTAAGAACATGTAGCGAATGTGAGTTTCAGAAAGCAGCGCCTCCTTATAGGTGAAGAACATCGGTAAACAAAAAGACGAAAGTAAAAGTCAAGTGGCCGCCATCGGTCGACGAATAAGGTGAGTTTCTGGTCGAATAGTGAGCTGAATATGAGTAAAAAATGTGAAGGATGTAGAATCTCAGATGGAACATTGTTAATATATCTTTAGAATCTGCTACAATCGCCAGTGTGAAAAATCTTGGTAGCCATGCTCAGTATTTATCGCTCATTTGGCTCAACATAGACATTTCTTTGGTTTCATAGAACATAACTTATTTAAGTGTTTTCGACCGCTTTGGGACTTTACCACTCTGTGTTGCGTGTCCATACGAGAATCCTAGAAATAATGAAAAAAATAATAAAAACACCGCTATAAAAAATTTAAAATCTGAAAGGTTTCAGATTTTAAATTACGTCCAAAAGGGCGTTTTTTTAACGTTTTGTGTGTTACCTTTATTTAATAAATATCATGTTCTTCGCATTTAAACCATAAAATTCAGTTCAGTAGCAATATCGCAAAATAATTTTAAAATGAGCATATCTTTAGAATATCCGATACACAGTTCCGCGCGCTGGAGATAAAAAGGTTCCCACCCCGTTAGATGGTGCCATCATTGCGTTTATTAATAAAAAATTCCTTAAAGTTTTACATGCCCATACTCGTAGGAGGATTACGTCATTCAAAATTCGATGGCTCTATGCACCGTTGTTTTATCACAGTGCGAGAAATATACATACATTTATGCAGATTTTTCAGTATTTAATTTCTTCAAATATAACAAAGGACTCTAACATTTGGTGGCAGCAGTTTGAAAAGTGAAATGGACGACATTTATAGTGATTCAACGCAAAATCGCAAAACGAAAACAATAGTCCTTCAGGGATAAAGCCACTTGACTTTTACTTTGGAAATTATTTGTACGCCAGCTGTGTTGCATCTCCAATGCAGAGTTGTAGATTTGGAATTTTCAGCAATTATATAGCATTTTGGTTATATCTTTGAATCGCTGTGGCAGCAGCGTCCATCTGCGGTGAAGTCTTGGCGAGGTCTGTGTATCCTAATGCTATGCGTGAAGTATTAATAAGCCAATCAGAGAGTAACGTTTTAGTACACAAAATTAATACCATCAGTCAGTCTACACCCGCTTTGAGGGATGCAAAGTCTAAAAATCTTGCTTTGCCAAGAATAAATGAAAATAATAAAGTAGAAAATAACTATATACACTATTTACATCGATCACTACGTAACTTGATGGTGTATCGTTCTAGGTCGCTTGAAACGTTGACACACTAAGTAGTCGTAATTTCCAATATTGTGATGGTCACATTTTTTAAAGAAATTATGAGAGCTTGAGCATTTCCCTGTCTAGAGGCAAAATTTTAATATTGGTGTGAATAGCTGCGTTACGTACGAACCACGGAGAGTTTGTAGTTATGCGTAACAGCTTATTTTGTAATTTTTGCAATAATTGCTGGTTTGATCGTGCTGTAGCGGCCCAAGCCGGCGCTGTGTATAGTAGGATTACCTAATAGCCTGTAAGTAAATTATCCTTTTCGTATTTAGATGAAATTTCGAATTCCATTCGAGTAACGCATAAATGGCAATCAAGGCTTTATTTGCTTTATTTCTGATATATTGAACGTGCAGTCTAAAGGTGAGTTTTTCGTCCAGTGGGACTCCTAAATATTTGGTGCATTTTTCTTTTGGAACTGTAAACGTTATTAAGCTTGATTTGACAACTTCTGTTCTATTGTAGCTGAAGAAAATAATTGAGGATTTTGTAGTGTTAATTTAAACTTTTCAGGCTTGGAACCATTGGGTGTGAATGTTAGCTGCCTTTTGGAGTTTTTCTTTAACGCAATGTTTTCTTTAGTAAAGTAGCTGTATCATCCGTATGTCATCCGAAGGAGTTTTTCTTTAGCACAAAATAGCTGTATCATCCACGTAACAAGCTAAGAGCGAATACGGGATGGGAGGCATATCGTTTATCTACAAGTTGAAAAGGATAGGCGAAATTAAGCTTCCTTGAGGCACTCCGTAATGAATAAATTTGTTGATGGATAGAATATTTTTTATTTTAACCTGAAAGGTTCTGCTGTCCAGGTTGTTTGCAATCATGACAATTAATTCAGGTGTAAATTGGTAGTTGAGCAATTTGATAAGAAAGCCATAGTGCCATACCTTATCAAACGCCTTTTTCAATAGCCAAGAAAAGAGCTGCGACCGTTTTTTTTCTGTTTAAGCAGACTCCGATGTGTTACACTAAATTTGTAACTTGCTAAACAATGGAAAAACCAGGTCTGAAATCAAACTAATAATCCCCTGAAAAGATTTTTACTTTCTATAAAATTTTTAACTCTAGTGATGATAATTTTTTCAAATGCTTTTGCAATGGCAGGGAGTAAGCTTATAGTTCGATACCTGCACGTGACCGTGCCATCCTTTCCTGGTTTTTTAATAACCGTGATAATTGCATGCTTCCAAATTGCTGGAAAATAATTTAACTTACGACACGTATTGAAGATTTTGGTGATTAAAACTATTCCTTTCATATATAAATTTTTAAGTGCTTTATTTCCAATACCGTCGAAACCTGCAGCTTTCTTCAGTTAAGCTCATTAACGATTTCTTTGACTTGTCTTTGAGTGGTGGGAGTTCAGCTAAGATTTGAATTTAAAGTGAGAAAATATGAAACATTACTTATAATATTAGTACCATTTGGGTTGAGGAAATCATTCTTGGTGAACTGCTTCTCACAGTCACTTGCGAAGATGCTTGCTATTTCTTCTGTGTCGTGAATGCTTCGGCTATTTTGAGTAATAGGGCCGATAATTTTTTCTTCCTTCTTTAACGCTTTATTAATCCTCCATATCGGGTGGTTCGTATGTGAGAGACTGCTGACAAAACTATTCCATGTTTCGTCTCAGTAAATTAGCATCATTCTTCTAATCTGAGTTCTCTGTTGCAGCGGTTGAAGTTATTTCTATCTTGCGGGTAGTTGGTCTTTTGTGCTATTTTTCTAAGTTTATTCATTTCGCGGATTTTTAACTCGGTATTATACGGTATTATACGGTAATGTATTATACCGAGTTAAATACTCGGTATAATACATTACCGTATAATACTCGGTATTATACGGTAATGTGAAGTCCTCATTTCTTGTGTTTTGGGCATTATTAACGGAATTACGAATTTTGTTGTTCAGGCTACTACACGCAAAAAATTGCGATTTTCTATCGAGCAGTTCCGGAGAAATCCTCGAAAAATATTAACATGGGGGTCGAAATCCCCATGGCCCCTCACGGCGAAATGAAATTTTTTGACACTGAAAAATAGGGATCCCCTCTGGCTCTTTAAACCGAAAACCGCGTTTCACTCGGAGCACAGAGACCGAGAATGTCGGGACCATGTTAAGTCCCCATTATATGGGTTACCATTAAATGGTAAGGACATCTTATGGATCTTGGGCCCTAATTGGTCTAGAGAGATAAATTTTTTTCAAATAACAGAGCATCTTGAGACAAACATTTTGGCTATTTCGGTTTTCTTATAACGTTGAAATGGTGTTCCAATGGTTCAAATGGATCACATGGGTGTTCTCTTACACGCAAAAAATTCGATTTTCTATCGAGCAGTTCTGGAGAATTCGAGAAACTTTAACAAGGGGTTCGAAATCACTATGACCACCCATGGCGAAATGAAATTTTGTGACATGAAAAAATAGGGCTTCCCTCTGGCTCTTTAAAACCGCAAAGCGGGTTTCAGTCGGAGACATACAGTGTCTCAAAAAAGTGATGGGACACTTGTGCTTTACAAAAGGAAACTGCAATAAAATAAATTTAAAAAACATGTAAAATTTTTTGTGGGTGTGTTTCATACTTAAATTTAGTAACAATTATTACATAACATACATTTTCTCAAAATATTAAAATATTAATTTAATAAAAATACAATTGTTTAGAACGGAGCATAAAATGGCTCACTTAAGTGATGGGACACTACGTACTTTGCAACAAAATCGTCTGAAGTAAGCAATAAAAATATCTTTTTGGGGTATTTATTTTTACTCAAAAGCAATTGCCAATAATTTATAAAATCGTCTGCAGCATTTCTGTCCAGTTTGTTTTGTATTTTTGTGTTTTTTAGCTCTGTATAGCAATGAATGCTAAACGAAAAGAAACTTTGCCTGCAATTCGAAAATTAGTTATTAATTTGCATATTGAACGTGGAAAATCTATTAGAGAAACTACTGAAACAGTTAAGTTCAGTCATTCAACAGTTTTCAATATCATTAAACGATATAAAAAGAATCATATGATTCAGGTTAAAAGAAGACCTGGCCGACCATCAAAGCTATCCAATGGAA